AGAGAACATAGGTGCCTGGGACTGGGGGCAGTGACTCGAGAACAGAGTTGGGATACTGTAGATGGTCCTTATAGAGCTTGCAATACAGCGACGGTGGCGGGTATGTTGCTATAGGCATTTACAGTTAATTTTAGTACTCCTTTTTCTTGATTTCTCTCAATACTAAAAACAAAGCCAATAATTTTGTCGTTGAAGAAGCCGTCGATGTACAAATTTTGAATTTCCGAAGTTTTACTGGATTGAAGATGATGAAAAGGTAAAGAGGAAGACGACTCTAATTTCATTTCAAAATGGAGAATAGGGTTTTATGATGAAGTTGAAGGAGAAATGAAAGGGTGAAATGAGAGAAATTTGGTGGCTATTGAGTTAATAATTGATGGGCAATTCTATCAGTTTGTCAATTATTATATTTTAAATTTTTTTTTTTTTAAGTAATGGTCAAAGGCCATTTATCCAAATTTTTACCAAGTCCGATTATTTGGCCAAATTCCCCTTAAAGTAATCAACAATACAGGCTATGAGAGAAAAGTCTATATTACCCTTTTCGCTGTAAGCTTTATGGATGAAAAGTGTGGGATGGATATGGGTACGATGGGAATAAAAAATACTAGTGAATCAATAATAGTATTTTTTGTTTTTTTATTGAGACATATATTATGTCCCAATAAAGATCAAAAAATACTATTGTGTGTCGAAATACATTAGTATTTTTTTTTCTTTATTTTCATAATACCCCAATAAATAAAGAACAAAAAATACTATTGTATGAATAGACATATATTATGTCCCAAATCTACTATTGTATGAATAGACATATATTATGTCCTAGGGATTACCCATATGAATAGACACAGAGCCGGTCCTGACAATTCGAAGGCCCTAAGCAAGTTGGCAATCTTGAGGCCCCATACTTTATTTTTCTACACGTATAACAATATTTAAATAAAAAAATCTATATTTAAATGAAAATTTTGTACAATATAAAAGATGGAATTGCTAAATAAAATATCACTTACAATCCGAGAGATTAATCTAGCATCATATATAGTCTTCTCACGTTTTGAGATGCAAAATTAGTAATCAAACAACTCAAATCAAGTTTTTCCAACATTTTTTTTTCAATAGAAATCATAGATAATCCATTCAACCTCTCTTGTGACATAGTTGATCGAAGATAAGACTTAATCAATTTTAACTTTGAAAAACTTCTTTCAGCGGACGCAACAGTGACTGGGATAGTCAATAATATCCTGTAAGCAACCCAAGCATTTGCAAAACAACAATTCCTTCTCTTAATGTAATTTAACACATCAGCTGCTCCATTCATTTCTGTAGATATTGCTTCTCTTAAAACTTTCAACTCAGAAAATAATTCCATTCCATCGATATCAGATATTGTGTTATGCTTCAAATAATTTTCAAGATTAATGCAACGGCACTTCAATGTAGCATCATCAATGGATTTAAGCTTTTCCAAATCAAATAAAAATCCAAAAATATCGTCATATTCCTGAAATTGTTCAAATCTATTTTGAAGCGATGATAGAGCTTGATCTACTACATATAAGAAATAATTGACCCTAAAAGATTCTTCAGCTGTTTCTGTCATCTCTTCACAAGAAATCTCATCAAACTGCTTCTTTCTACGTATAACTCTTTTTTCACGAAATATCGGTTCAATGTCTAATTCACTTGCAATCTCTTTAGCATCAATCACGGCCGATTCAAACCCAGTTTCTCTATAGCTTTTGAAAAATGAAATGAGCCCTTTTAAATGGTCTATAGCAACGTCAATATGGATGTCCTCTGTTTGCAAATGTTTGCTTACTCTATTAACATTATTCAACACTTCATACCAAATAACCATCCCAAGTAAGAATTCAAGATTCTCTATTTCATATGTGCCAAACACTCCGCCTCACTTTTTGTCTTAGGATCATCAACTCTTGCCAATTCAAGTAGAGCATTTCTTATTTGTGGAGCTTGAAATCTTATTGCTCTAATACTTTCAACATGACTTTCCCAACGTGTTTGAGACAAAGGCTTAAGAGTAAGGCGATTTACATTATCTTTAAAAAATTTCCATCTTTTAGTAGATGATGAAAATAGAGTGTATATACGTTGCACCACTCCAAAGAAAGATTTAGCTTTTGTACAACAAGTAGCCATATCACAAAGTGCAAGATTGAGACTATGACACCCACAAGGAGTGTAAAATGCTCTAGAATTTACTTGTAGTAGTCTATTCTGTACCCATTTATGTTTTCCTCTCATGTTAGCACCATTATCATATCCTTGATCCCTTATATTATCGATATCAAGCTCTAGATTATTCAACGCATTCACTAATTCATCAAAAAGTCCCTTTCCAGATGTATCATCCACCAATAAAAATCCTAAAAAAATTCTTCTACCTTCACTGGACTTACTGAAATATCAACACACCTCAATACTATAGACATTTGTTCTTCATGACTCAAATCTGGAGTGCAATCAGGTATCACAGAAAAGTACTTGGATTCTTTGAGTTTCTCGATGATTATTTTCTTGATCTCACTCGCTAGCATAAGTATCAACTCATTCTGAATTTTGTGTCCAAGATAATGATAATGAATTTCTTTATTTTGAATTCGACGAATATGCTCTTGCATTATAGGATCAAACTCAGCAATCATTTGAATTAAGCTTAAGAAGATACCATTATTTTCTTGGTATATCTTCTCATTATCTCCACGAAACGCCAAATTATTTTCTGCAAGAGTTCTAACCACAGATATTATTCTCAACAATACTTGTCTTCAATGTTCTCTATCCTTATTGATTTGTTCCTGCACACTTTTATCAATTGTTTGTTCCTTTTGAAATCTTATTTCCATTTCGATCCATCTACTCAAGTTAGTGATATGGTTATAATTCACTTCATGTGTTCTTAGTTTTTCACCAATATTTTTCCAATCATTTGTACCATCATGTGCCAATTGAGTTTGAACCTCGTCATTCTTAAATAGCTTACAATAAAAACAAAATATTTTATCCAGACTTTTTGAATATATCAACCATTTTCTATCATGATTCTCTCCATTGGGTAACCGTCGAGTGTAATGAACAGAGGAGAAGTGTCGATTAGCTACATCTTTTGGAAAAATTACATCATTATCTCTTACCGGACCTTTCATTACGATTAAATCTCTTAAATTCTGATTCATATTTTCCCAATTCGCTGGATCACTAATATCAAAGGAGAATGGTTCACTAATCTTTTCATTGATGTTTCTTTCATCCATAACATCATCCTCGATAGATATCTCTTCATTCACCAGACAATGATGTTTTTCAATTGTATTATTGTCGATATCATTCTTATTAAACTCTTCTTCGAGAACTACATCGTCATTATATTTTTGTTTACTACCACTAAAAAATTTATCAAGGGCTCCCTCTTGAGATTTAATCAATTGTTCAACCTTCTTATGCCGTTTTCTTTTAGAATATCCAGATTCAAATTTTCTAGTGGACATAATTAAAGCACATAATGGTAGAACCTAATTCTGAGTTCGACTTAAAAGTATCCTAGATTCTCAAATATTCCAAGTGTAGAAATTCAACAATCAACCTGCAAGAAATAATAAATAAACCAAGTTATATGAGAATAACATGTTGAAGTAAGTTAACATCACAAAAACTGAACTATGCCAGCTACTGAATTCCTATTCTGAAACACACATAAAACAGAGTGATCAATTGATGATCATCAGCCAAAATTTCATAAACCAATTCTTATGGACTCATAACATTTCACGGACTTATATAATCAACTAGCAAAGACATCAATAGACAATAGTTTAAATCCTAATCAGAAATTCAACTTTTTTATGTACAAATTCGAAAGAAAAAATAAATAACCCTAAAAATCAAAACTAATGAATACAGGATACCAGAACCCATTATCTCTAATGCCTCAAACATATATGATTAAATTTTTTTTTCATATTAAAATTAAAAAATCAAATTGAATTGCAATTCATACAATCAAAATTGAGCCAAAATAAATTCCTGGCCAGACAAAAATAAAAAAATAAAAAAATTAAACCTACAGGATAAACGGGAAATTTCCAATCATAAATCATTGATCCATAAATAAAAATTTCGAAATTTTACTTTCTTGGCACGACCTATAATTCTTTATCCACCAAAAATATCACAAAACATCTGAGAAAACAAAGCGAGGCAGCGAGCCCAGATAATAAATCATGAAGAATTTCAAGGAGAACCGACCAATTAAATCCCACGAAAAAAATAATTCAAACATATAGATACCCACATATAAGAACAACAAAAAGAAATAAACAAATTCTGTCAATAAAAAGACTGAGTTTTACCTCGACGAAAGGATAGAGAATTCGAGATTTGAATGGAGAAATAGAGAAACAAATTATTGAAGATGGGGCATTTTGGACAATGGACAACAACAGAGGATTCTGGATTCACTGGGATTGAGATTTCAGATTTGAGAGGAACCAGAGACTAGAGGAAGTCGAATTGAAAAGATAACGGGCCGGGTGGTTTGTAGTGTATGTATGTATTGTATACGGACTTGGGACTCCAAGTGGACCAAGTCTCCAAAATAATTTAATTCATGTGGTCCAAGCCCAAAGGCCCCAAATCATTTTTCTTATTTTGGGAATTAAAAATAATATAGATTTTGAGGCCCTGGGCCCAAACCAAAATTTGGAGGCCCTAGGCGGTGGCCTAAGTGGCTTGGCCGGAGGGCCGGCCTTGAATAGACATCAATGTGCCAAGTCTTGTCCTTTTCATACATATATTTTTTTGAATAGACATATATGTCCTGGGTAATCCCCAGAATTTACAAGATTCCCAGTACATAATATATGTCTATTCATACAATTGTAGACTTGGGACATTGATTCACCAGTCTTTTTTATTCTCAGAGTACCCATATCCATCCTCCATTTTAGAAGAAGAGGATTGCATGCTGATAAATGGCAGCAAACGGAAACAAATGCTCTCCACAAAGACTCACTAGGCGCGACTCTCTGCAAATGGACGATTGTGCAGGTCTGGGCATGTTCGGTGTTCTGGAGGTAAAAGCTTAAAACTCCATAACTAAATCCATCCACAGTTTCACAATCTCATCGTCCATTTTCTCAAATCCTGAGTATGGACATCTTCATCTTCTATGATTACTCAATTTTCTTTTTTACTATATAGTCATGTACTCTGGAATGATAGTTTTCTTCTTTCTATTCATGACCATGATAGTAGATGCAGAAACCTCTTACTTCGCTTACTGGAAAAGAGAACTTAGGGATCACCATCTTATGCTCACTGTCCCCCTTTTCACGGAAAATATAGAGATGACACCATCTTATGCTCCGTCTCCATTTTCACAGAAAATGGAGAGATGAATTGGTGTGTTTATTAAATCCGTCGGGACTGACGGGGCTTGAACCCGCAGCCATCTTACTGGAAAAGGAAACAAGAAACAATCTAATTGGATATAATTCCTTTGAACTCTGTTTTATGAGCCTTGATTTAGATTTTTCGGCATCAGCTTCCAAAGAAAATGCGGGCAGGGTAGAGCTCGGCAGGGGGTTAACATATTTTTCCCATAGAATATCCTGTCCATTAGAAAACAAAGTTCTAAGAGGATTACAGATTCTCGAACTATGTTGCTAATAGTTCAATCTCACCATCCATTAAAGCATAGAATTGTGAATTTTGTTTATACAAAAATTATGCTACATAGATTCTTGTAACTTTCTCAAATTTTTCGTAGTGAAATTGAAGGTTGCTATAGCAATGGGTTTGTACTATGCATTGACGGACCCACAGTGGGTCCTGGTGGGTCAAGTGACCCACCAACTGAAAATTCAATTTTTTTTTTTTTTTTTAAATGGAATTGAGGAAATGATCAAGTACTCTAATTTCAATCTAGTTTAGGCGATTTTATGGTAATGGAGTTGTGATTTTATTCTTTGTTTGAACTGGAATATAGTTGATGATATAATATTTAGAATTTGATGTGATTTTTGTATTTTTTTTTTTTTTACTTGAATTGATTGTATTCATTGATTATGATGAAAAAATAATTTAAACGTAAATATGCATTTTTTTTTTTTTAATGATCACAATGTTAATGAAAGGATTATTCGAGATAAGAGAATGAAATGATGTTGGAAATAAAAAGGCTACTAAACTTGGTGATGTTCGAGATAAACGTAAATCTATATCTTTTGTAAGTTTGATTGTGTCCCGCCAATACAAAATATCTGTGTCCGTCAGAAGTTCTTGAAGCATAGGACAACACCCTTGTGGTGGAAGTGCGTCATTATGATTGCTTCCAAAGGAGGAAAAAATTCACTCTTATTACTATTTTAGATTAGTAATTAGTTATGTAAAAGAAAGTCGAAAAAATTTAAGAAAAGGAGAAATATATATAACGGAAGATTAACAATTAAGTGCTTCAATAGATGATTGTTTTGACAATGTCTTTAACTAAATATATTGACAGGTAGGCAAGGGTTTGTCCATAGATGCCAAGGCAAACATATTGATTTTGAAACACTGCATTGAAGCTGTGAGTTACTCTTTCTTCTTGCCATCTTAGAGTTTTTTTAAGTTTAGCTTATTCTCTGGTGATTAAGAAGGTGTCTGATGGCTCTCATCTTCCTCATGGGAGCTTGTCACATTTTATTTATTTTTTTGTCAGTTGTCCTCACTCAATTACGAGTTATTTACCATTGTTTCAACTTTAGCCTGATAGTGATATTTGTGGAGTTAACATTTGAAAGCTATGTTATTTATGCAGATTGATTCAAGACATCGTTATGGGAGCAATTTACAACTATACTATAAAGAGTGGTTTAAAAGCTCCGCCAATCAGAATTTCTTTTCTTGGTGAGAGAAGTCCTTAAAACACAATAATATAGAAATGTTTGGTACATAAAGCCACGATCTGATATATATCTATCTAAGTATACTAAGATAAATATAAATTCATCTTGATTTGTAATTAAAGAAAGATAATGGGAATGGCCAATCTCAGTTCGGCCTGAGGAAACCTTTGCACACCTTCGTAAATGTAGGCCTACTCCCCATAGAAACTACGTGAGACTGTCCTCGGTTGCAAGTAGTGGTGTCAAATGAGTGGTATCGAGTTACAATTTGAGAGATTTTTTGCGGTCTAACTTGAAGGAGTTAATTAGTTTCTTTCTGCCTCTACTTATATTGTCAAAAAAGAAAAAGAAAATGAAAATACACTTTGTTTATAAATTGATAATCTTATATGTGGATTGCGCTTTCATTTATTTTATTTTGAACAAGGGTGCAATTGCTTCCATATTATCTAAAGTCAAAAACACATTAATTGAAACTTGAACATATCTACTTTTTAATAGGTTGGATTATGGAGATGGCAAAGAGGTTGATCTTGAAGACTGTCCTAGATCAAAGCTTGATCAACAATGCGTCAAGTATCTTGGACTAGTATGCGATCAAAATTGCATTAATTACCTTTTGCATTGATTTTCTTTTCTAAATTTATTGCATGTTTGACACATATTAATGGATAAAAAATGGAGCTCGAATCTTGTTTTTTATATCGTTACATCAAGATCAAGTATGTTATATCTTGTGTTATTCTTGTTTCAGTTTTTCCTATTTTGTGTTATTATTTGTTTGTGTAATCAATAGCATGCAACCTAGTAGCTTGCTAAATGTGTACTTTATTCTGTTGTACTGACATCTTGATTATATTATATGGATAAATTGACTTTCCTAAAAAGTTATTCTACTCTAATCAATGCAACATTTTAAGTAGGGTTCTTTATTTTTTATTATTCTTCTTTGATATGATCAGGAAGCGAGAAAATCTTACGAGCACGTGATTGTTAATGGAAAAATACTGCGCAGTACAACCAGAATTCATCTTAACCATGAATCTCCACAGTTGAAATATATCTTCGTAGTGAGCACATCTAAGAAACTCTACATTGGAGAGGTAATGTCTAACAAACTAACTAGAATTGTGCACGTGATGTTTTTTTTAAAGTCTCTATGTTGTGCATCGAAACTTTTTTCTTCATTGAAACATCTATATTTTAACACCATTTAGAAAAAGAAAGGATTTTTCCATCATTCAAGCTTTCTTGCGGGAGGAGCTATTCTAACTGCTGGGAGACTCTGGGTAAAAGATGGAGTGCTTAAGGTAAATTCCAAACAGTCCCGTCCTTTAATTTCTTGATAAAACATAGAATACTATTATCATGTCCTAAGGTGTGCCGCAATGTCCTTGGAATAAAATTATTACATTAAGTCTTGTTTTGACTCCTCGTTTCTTAAAACTCATTTTTAATTACTCATTTTAATGGATCGACAATTTTGTATCAACTTTGAAGTCATACATTTCATTAACTTTTTATCAAAATCTATTTAAAAATCTAATTTTTATCCAAACCAAACATGAGCTAAATTTGCCCATGATGTGAACTTGACATCTAATATTTTATAGCACATTAGTACATTTTTTTAATTTAAGTAACAATTACTAACAATAATAAATGCATATATTAAGTATATAATGTACAAAAACTATAAATGATTCTTGGTCTGATTACTTTGATATTACAAAGAAAAAGGGAATGGATAAATTGGCATGAAGTTACACTTATCTCGTATATTGTTAGGGGGGTGGGAAATAAAGATAGCTACTGATCGCGGAATGAATTAGAGGAAATTTACCATGCTAAGTCTATGCCAAATAAGGTGTGTATCTGTTAAAATAGTTCTTTAGTTTTAAGTTAGATCTGAGTCTTGAACTTGAGGTGAACTTAGATGAGTGTAATCAATTCGTCCATGATCATCTAGCCAACTATAATGACGATATTTGATAATTAGATGGTTTTGGTTTACCTCGAATCGACGAGGATGTGAAAAATACTATTGAATATGGTAAAAATAAGTTGACTACCAACATAATTATAAGTGTCCTTAGAAATAAGGAGTTGGAACTAAAAAGTGAAACAAGAGAAACTGTCAGTGGATAACTTACTAGCAAAAGGAAAGAATGAAAGACGCTATTGAATAAGGCATAGACAAGTTGATAATCACAAGTGAAGTGCCCTTAGAAATAACGAGTTGGAACTCAATTCTGAAACAAGAGAGAGAGTCACTTGAGACCAACTTAACAGAAAAAGGCAAGAGTAGCTTTAAAAATTGTTATTGAGGTACAATATATTATTGTCACGGATGGGGTTAAGAAATGATTCTGACTTCACGGAGTGTCAACTTAACTGTGAAGGATGGAAGAGAATTGAACTGTGATTTTGCTAAATACATTTTTGATCTAATGCACCCTCTTTACTCTCTTTAGCGCATCTCACCTTCCAGTGGACATTATAAGCCAACCGAGGATAGCCTTGAACGATTTTTATCGATTCTCAAGGAAAATGGAGTCAACCTTGACGAAGTCCAGGTGCATCATCTGCCCTTTTTTTTTTTTTTTTTTTTTTTTTTTTTTTTTTTCTCTGTGATTCAGTAGTATTTCATCTAATAGTGTTGTTGTCTCATATCTTAACAGATCCGGAAGGCGAACGAAGACTTTTGGAGTCCTTAAGTCTAGATTTGCCTCTGAAATTGCTGAAGTATACCTACAGAAAAGAATGAGGCCTTTTCCTATACTATAATAGGTCTCATATAATTGAATGGGGGATTGAAAACTTATATATGTTTATATGTAATAATGTGTGTAACTTGAGTGCTGTACCAGAATCATCTGTGGAGAATTGAAGAGAAATATATGTAATAAGGGTGTGAGACGTGTGTGTATCAGAATCATCTGTAGAATGGAGAAGTGAAGAGAAATATATGTAATAATGGTGTGTGACTTGAGTGTGCAGAATCATCTGCAGAATGGAGAATTGAAGAGAAATATATGTAATGAAGGGGTGTGACTTGAGTGTACCATAATCATTTGCAGATTACTCTAATCAGCACTTTTGCTCGCTCGGGGATGGGTTTATCTCCACTTTATTCCTCCATTAATGGAGTTTGACGGCTTCTACACCCATCAAAGTTTAGATTTACATCAGAGAAGAGGGAACTGACTCGTTTTCGTCAGAAACAAATGTAACAAAGAATTAACTCTAGGCAAGTAGTAAACAAATACGTTATGATCAATTGCAAGCTCACTGGGGACTCCTCTCAAGTTAGACGAATCCAAGGATCGTCTCTTTCGTCCTTGTATGCATCCATTTTTAGTCGCGATTGATCTGTCAAAGTCTAAAATAGAAAGAGTCCGCACTGGGGAAATATTTTTTTGAGAATAATCCACTCCGTTGTTCTCATTGGGCACAATATTGATCGAGTGTACCGTTCTTCATTGTATGGGCAACAAGGATAAAACTGAAAAGGAGGAAAACGCAGCCGCCGAAACAGGCAAAAATTTATAGGACTGAAAAAGATTTGCATGGAAATGATTACGTCGACAGTGAACTTGAATGCAGTTTCAGGTCTTGATGTTACTGGGTCGGGTCAAATGGGTGATGGTGCTGGATTGGATCATGATATTTAATTGGAGCAGAGGAGTTCTAACAGAAATTGGGCCCGAATGGGTTAAGAGGATTGGGCACATTAATTTTTGTAAATAAAACTTGTACAAGCACGTGCACTTAACCGTGCAAAAGATTATGCATGAATCGTTTTCAATATACACAATGTTAAATACTTCCACTTGGATTTGACATTCTCATTTGGTTCCAATTAAATTAAATTTTATTTTTCTTTCTCTTATTTTTAACCACACAATTTTTCATAAAATAATATTGCACGTAAATTAAAAACTTCTATTCTTTTTTAACCACTCATTCTTCAAAAAAATGTTATTCCACCCATTTTACATTGAAATGATGTGGACCAAATGGGAGCTTAAAAAAATGTGTACTTTAATTTTGACGAGAAACATGAATAAGAGCTCCTTTTTTATGTAACTAAATTTTTATAAAAAATAAAGACAAAGATAATAATAATTATATATTTTATGAAATTTATAAATTTTATCAACTTTTCAATTACATACACTATCTTTTTCTTTTTCTTTTTAATCAAAATTTAGTAAAAATCTAAGTTTTAAATATGTCGAAAAGGGCTTAAAATTAGGGGGAAAAACTGCAAAACCTTGTAATAAGGTCAATATAAAACTATTTATAGATTTCCTACTAGACTCGCTGTAGGAAATTTTAAGCAAGAATAAAATGTGTAAATTTATTGTGCAGAGAAGCACATACCATTACATAGTTTGGAGACAGTTAAAAAGTTGATTTTGATAAGAATGAGTGATGGATTTCACGAAATTATTGGCGAAAAATTAAGTATTAATTGTGGGGTCTATATAATGGTAACAACGAGCTGAGTTGAGTTGGCTTACCAGCCCAAGCTCGGGTCTTGATATTGGCTTAAAAAAAAAAACAAGGCTAGAACGGAGCTCGAGCCAGGCTATTGCCTGGATTTTGGCTCTATCCTATCCGGCTCACAAGCTTTTTCATTTTTTTCCTTTTTACTTGAATATATAAGAAAAATTGATCGCCAATTTACAAACTACAAAATTAATTTAAAAGCTACAATAGTAATTATCGAAGTTTTTGAATACAAAATAAGTGGTCATTAATTTACAAACTTCAAAAATTAATTATGCAAGTGGTTTAAAGAGCAAGTAACAAGGCGTGCTACACGAGTCCACATGCGGCCCTGCTTGTATCTGGGTTTGTCAGTTTGTGCGGCTCTCTGGCCAAATCTGATTTCTGAGACTTGGACGAAATTTGGCTCTTACAAACGAGCTCCGAGCCAGTTTGGACTTTTTTCGAGTCAAGCCACATGTCATAGGAGTCGATGAGCTCGTTTGAAACCACTAGTTCTATGAAATATGCGGTTGCAATTAATTATTGAGTTTGACAGTAATTTTTAATACGTATCCTACAAGCACATTTATCACCCTATTCCAAATCAGACTCGGGTTTTCTTTTACGTTGCATTTAGCATCCCAGTATCTTTGAGCTGGGGTTTCTATGTAAAACGAGATTCTTTCTGATTTTGCTTCAACTACTGGTCAGTTTCCCATCAAACCCATCTATTTATTTTTCCATTTTGTGTGGCTTAATCTTTTAATTCTAGGCACATATATACACATATTAAACGTATACTAATGCTGGGATAAATCAAGTTTTGTAATATTTCGGAGTTTAAATATATTTTTTGGGGAAAAACTTGTTTCAATTTATGAACTTTTTTTAGTAGTATCATCAGGAATTGTTGGCTTTTGTCAGCACGTAGGTTTTTACGTTAATGGATGGAGAAACAATGACATTGAATCAAGAAGAGGAACTTTTTTCTGGAATCAAGTTTGAAAATGGGTGTTTCATGGAGGGATGCCCAGATACAGAAAGGGAAAATCTGAACGGTTTGTATGATTCTAAATCCAAAAAGATTGATGAAGATATCGATGATTTGTTGCCTAATGATCCCTTTGGTATGGGAATTAGCATAAATTTGCCTAATGATCCATTTAGCGTGGATAATATGTCAAGAACGCGTGGCTTGATTCCATAGATTTTTAGTGTGCGGCTCCCTTCTTGTTTAGGTCTTCAATTCTGTGTTTATAATATCTTGGAATTTAGGTAAATATTTGGAGATGAGTTGGGCCGAAAAAGAATGGTAAAAACCTAAAAAAATTACTCTTGCATGGCGGCGCCTGGGCGCTGCGATTTGGTCGCCTAGACGCTGACTTTCTGTCAAAATTTCAGCATCATGGCGCCTGAGCGCTGAGAGATAGCGCCTAGGCGCTGAGGACTACTTCGGTTGCACTGGACAGCTTTCAGTATTTTTGTTATAACTTTTTCGTTCGATATCCAATTGAAGTGATTCAAGATGCGTTGAAAAGCTAATTCAAAGGAATACAATTTTGCTTCAGGAATCATTCTCCAATTCGATCGTTTTCTATGTCAAAAATGAGTCTCAATGTGAGACCAAAACTCCGGCGCAAAACTTTTTGGTTGGAAAATGATTTATGATCATATCTTGACTAAATTTGATCCCTTTGACACCTTCCTTCATCCAATTGGCTTCTAGAACTCTCGAACCTTCATTTCAAGTTTCGACACGACTTTTGATTAATTGCATTTTAATCCTCGAACTTTGAATCTCTTACGTTTTGGTCATTTTATCCAATTTCGCTAGCTTTTACCTATTTCCTTCCTTTGACCTCTTTTAGCTCTTGTTTTCTCCAATTCCATCAATCTACAAAACAACTCCAAAATCACTTGTTAGCACTTCTAAAATACTCTCCAAGATAGCAAAATTATGAAATTAATGGCATAATATAATGAGTGTAAATCACTCATCACTTAGTTTGTTAATGTTGTTATTTTATTTTTTTTGTTTCCCTATGGTGGAGCTGGGATTTATTGAGAAGAAGGATTGACAACTGGAAAATAATCTAAACTTTAAAGTCATGTTTGGGAAGTGCTGATAATTGGCTTGAATTGTATATAGATAGAAATTAGTAATCGATAAGTGGGTAGATTGTGGGTCCCTCAAAATATAAGTAGCTTGATTTTTTATAAATAGTTTATAAACATGAGCAAAAGATAGGCTAAGTGTGAAAAATATTTCTTACCAGCTGCACTGCAGTTCTTTTAAAATCAACAGAGCAAATATTTGTACTGTTGATTTTCTGTATATAGTTTTCTTGAGAAGCCTTGTGGTAGATTTTTTTTTATGCTTTAATAACAATTGCCTTGATATCATGTACGATTCATTTATATCATTACCATCACTGATGCTCCTCCTTTTCCTTATATTATTGCTAAATCTAGAACATGAGTGATCCTCTACAAAGAGCTCTGTTTCTTTACCTCAGGCAAAAATTTTGATCTTTTTGAATATTGTGTCATTTTGAAAATCATGTAGCACTCGGATGATAAGTGTTCTGATTGTAGCTTCTTTATTCTATCTTTTTGTAAGCTGAATATATCCAAGTTCTATGCTGATTTTTCATTTTATCTTTAGATATCAAATCTAATCACACATAGTTTGCCCCTTGACGCTTGCAGTTAAGTGTGCCAGGGTGCATCAAACTCAGTGTTGAAGGTCTTCTGTGTAACTTGAAGGTCTTTAAGTCTGTTGGAATTCCTGGTATTGAGCATCTGAGAATTGGTTGACTTCTTGGTATAACGAACCAGCACTTAAGGAATTTAAAGTTTTGTTAGGTGCAGATAAGGACAAACAGTTTAGCCCCTGTAAACCAAGGTTTTATGGTGCCGGACAACTGTATCTTTATTTAGATGATGAGCGGACTATTGACATTGAAACGTGTCCGCATTGCCAGCAAGTGAGACAAGTCTATGATTGCCCCCACTGAAAATTGCCAAGGGAAGCTAAATGATGGAAAGTCTTGCAGAGGTTGCACCTTTTGCGTTGTTCGTGTCATAAATTGCGGAAGCTGCTTGAATAATTCTGATTATGAGGAGACATTCTGTTTTGACTTACTTTGTTTGGAGTGTTGGGAACAGCTCTTGAGTTGTCAGGAGAGAGTGACGTTTTCACCAAAGCACACCTGTTTTC